ACATCCTGTGTAGGACCCATGAGAGAAGAGGACACGAAAGTGCGTGCAGGGAGGGCTGGCAGCCACAGGAAGGCGGAAGGGAGACGGACCCCCAAGCCAAGGACCGGCAGAGACGACGGCAACCAGCAGAGGCCACACGAGGATGCAGAGCCTGACCCCACCAGCAGCCGACTCCAGGCTTCCGGCCTCCAGGCCTGTGAGAGGATGCTGCAGGCCACCCAGCCTGCGGGGCTTTGCCTGGCAGCCTGAAGCTAATCAGTGTGTCTCGCCAAATATATTAGTTACATAAGTGCTTTTATGTGTGTGCAAATGAGGAAGTACATACACACACACACACACACACACACACACACAATCTGAACAGAAACAGAAAAATTCCAAAACTCAAGCTACTGCTAGTGGTTTCTTGGGTAGAAGAAGAGCTAGAAAGATAGAGGTAGAAATGCAGAACATTTAGTGAGCACGTGAGAGTCGTGGGTTTAATACTCTGTGAGGAAGGAGGGAGGGAGGGAGGGAAGAAGAGGGAAGGGAGAGAGGGCAGAAGGTGAGAAAGTGAGGGAAGGAGGAAGAGAAAGAGTAAGAAAAAAAGGAAGGAAGAAAGGAATGAGGGAAGAAAAAAAGAAAAAAAAAGAAAAGAAAAGCAAGCTCTGAAAAAGCAACTGTATCTTAAACTGGCTGTGATAGTGCATACCTATATTCCCAGCACTCAAGAGGCTGAGGCAGGAAGGTGGCAAATGCAAGGCCAGCCTGAGCTGCATAGCAAGTTCAAGGCCATAATGAGACCGTGTCTCAAAAAAAACAAAAACAAAAAAAAAATGATGAGGCCCGGAGAATAAAATAGAAAGAACTGAGAAAGTGAAGGTGAAGAGAACCCCGGCGGGTTAACAAGGCAAAACGGAAGTCAAGATCACCCGCGAGGGCGGGCCTGGGGTGCGCCTGGGCGGGAGGTCTGGGGGAGGCAGTCCAGGAGCTCCTCCAGGCCAGTGGCTGCTGGAAAGAACCTTGTCTTTGGGGCCCGGGAGACACAAGGGAAATGACGCGGTGACTGGGAAGCAAAATGCCCAGAGAACCCCTAGTCCACCTGGAAGCAGACCCTGGGCACCGTGCACATGGCCCCGGGAGACCGGCTGGAGGGAAGGAGGGGCTCAGACCCGAGCCTGGGCCCCTCGGCTCACGTGGCTCTCGCCCTCCGGGCCTTGGTATCTCATCTGTAAAGCGGTTGTCGCCCCGATGGAGCCCGCTCCTCGGGCTGTGGTGACGTCGTGAGCCGCCACCCGGAAAGCCCTGTGAAGACACCGGTCCCCGCCAGCACCGACGGTAGTTACTGACACGCGCCCCTGTGAGCACACTGTGCACAGGAGCTCCGCAAGGCCACTTGAGCCCCTCACCAAGAGGCTTTACAGAGCGGGACGGGGTGGCACAGGCCTGTGATCCCAGCGCTTTGGGAGGCTGAGGCAGGCAGACTGCAAGTTTGAGTCCTGTCTGAGCAACTCTGTGAGACTCTGTCTCAAAATTTACAACTATAAAAAGGGCTAAGGATGTAGCTTAGTGCGAAGGCCCTAGGTTCAATTCCTAATGGCATCCAAAACAAAGGACTTAGGATTTAGGGGCAGGATTTCCTGAGGCTGAAACCTAGAAAAGGAAGCCTGTTTCTGTTCCCATCTGTTCCCCTGGTGGGGTCAGGACACCTTCCACCAGGGGCGCTCGTGCCTCTAGGGCAGCAGTGGTGAACCTGGGGCACGAGCGCCATAGCAGGCCGCAGAGCCCTCTCGGCCAAGCATCCGAACTCAGGTTTCACTACAGCGGTGGTGCTTTGTGATGCACAAGTGGGGCTGGGTCTCAGTGTGGGCATCGGTCTCTAAAAGGCTCACCTACGCCGGGTGTGGTGGCGCACGCCTGTCATCCCAGCACTCAGGAGGCTGAGGCAGGAGGATGGTTGCAAGTTCAAGACCAGTTTGTGCTACAGAGTGAGCTTGAGGCCAGCCTGACCTGCATTTTGAGACCCTGTCTAAAAAAAACAAAAATAAATAAATTAAAAAAAAAAAAAGGCTCACCCTCGTTGCTCTAGGAAATCGAAGCTCCAGATGTCTCTATGGCCCCATGGCGCCACCACACAGAGCACCGGACGCCCCAGGAGTCCCACATGGGCTGCCCTGCTGCCTGGGCGGTCTGTGGAAGGCGCTGACCTTCAGTACCAGGACATTCGGACAGATCCCTTTTGCTGCCCTCTTAGAGCCCCTGAGGTTCCCACCTGTCGTGCCAGCCCCATCACTCCTCATCTTTACAGCGCCTTGGCTTTCCTTGCGATGCCCCTGCAAGGCCAGGCCCTCAGTGGTTGCCGCTTCCCAGGATGGGACGCCCACCGGCCCAGGCCAATGTGCTCCGTCTGCGTCCACAGTTACAAGTGAGAACAGCACCGTCACAGAAGCAACACCAGAGACCTAAAGCCATGCCCTGCCGGCGTGCTCTGTCCAGCTGCGCTCCAAGGACTCATCTGACGCCAGCAGCGAGGCAAGATACTAAGGTCCAGGGGGCCAAAGGATCTGGGGTGCTGACAAGACAGGAAAGCTTCTTAAATTTGTAAACTGTGACTTAGAGAAGGTGCAGTCAGTGTCCCTTGTCTCTACCTTGTTTGGTAACCAAGTAACCGTGGGCAAAGAAAGTCCCGCCACCAGCCAGGTCTGCTACTCTGTCCTGTGCGGCAAAGAGTGAAGCCGCCAAGAAGGGGACGCAGACAGCCTGACGTGCCCTCCTCCTGCTCGCTGCAGGACACTAGTTCAGTGGCACAGCACCTGCCTAGCAAGTACAAAGTCCTGAGTTCGATTCCCGGTACAAAAATAAAAAGACACTGGGAGCTTGCTGAGCCTGCTGTGGTGGTGCTGTGCAGAGTTCAGAGTCAGCCCAGACACACACTGAGACCTTGTCTCAAAAGAAAAAAAAAGCTGGAAACTTCCTTTTTTGAGGTCTGCTGATGATATTTCAAAAACAGGGGCTGGGAGTTTAGCTCAGCGGCACAGTGCCTGACCGGCAAACGCAAGGTCATGAGTTCGATCCCCGGTACTGGGAAAAAAAAAAAAAGAAACAACCAAACAAACCAAAAAAACACAGAAACAACCCTCCTAAAAAAAAAAAAAATCCTATTATGTGTTTCCTACAACAACCATTGAGAATAGTCAATGAATATTCAACTGGTCACTCATGTATAGCTCTATTTATTTTCTTTAGAAGCCACTTTGAAGATACCAAAGTATAGTACAACAACCACTGAGAATCTCCTACCTCTTTTGTCTGTAACTCACTATTATTTGTCTATTTGTTTTCCTGAGAAACTCTCTTGTAGATAACAACATGTAAAACAATAACCATTGATAAATCTCCTACCACTTTGTCTGTAATTCAGTAAGCACCCCCATTACTATGTTATCCTTCTTTTACTCTTTAAAATACATAAAAAATAAATAAATAATTTTTAAAAATCCTCCAGATATATACAAAAAAAAGTTGTATCTGAACTTTAAATACATGAGCTGTTGGTTAAAAAAAACAGGAACTCATGATGCTGAGTCTTATCTTACGCTTCCTTCCTCTGATTTTGATAGAGAGAAAAGCCAAGTGTTTTCTTGATTTCCTCTGTGTACAGAAATAGTTTCTAAAGGAAACTCAATCCAAGAGATAACTTTTATGACTGATGAGGTCTTGCTTTAAAGAATGACATTATGACTATAAAGCTTTGCTTAATCTAGTACATTTTTTCTAAAAACGTATTTCCTAAAAGTTACCCAGGATCATAAAGATTTCAGAACATGGTTATATGGAAAACTCTAATTAAAAAAAAAAAAAAAAAAAAACTCTATTTGTGAACTTTTATTTTTTTTTTTTAAAGACAATGTCTCACTATGTAGTCCATGCTGGCCTTCAACTACGCAGCCCAGGCTGGTCTTGAATTCACAGCGATCCTCCTGTCTCAGCCTCCTGTGTGGTGGGATTACAGGTGTGCGCCACCACGACTGGCTTTCATTTCTGATTTTAACGCTCATGTCCCTCCATATGGGCAAATAAGATTAGTATTACCAAAAAAGGGGTCGGGGTGCAGCTCAGCAGTAAAGCACTTGCTCAGCATAGGTGAGACCCTGGGTTTGAGCCTTAGCACTAAAAAGGAAAAACAATTTCCCCTCTAAAAATTCTCCAAACAATATCCTGCTATTCTTTCTCAACAAGTAAATTTCAAGTCTTATCATATGCTATGCTATTCTTGAAAGAAAATGCCTCAAATGGCTAAACGGTCTGTTAGACAGAATTCCTGTACTGCTGTTGATGCTCTGTTATTAAATTTAGGTGTTTTTAAATTCAGTTTACTGGCAAAAGTGATATATTCTTGAGTACTAACTGAAATAAACTGTGGCAGAAAGAAAGACCAGTTGAGAGAATGGGTTATATCTAGCCCAAAACCTAGCGCAACAGGCTAAGGACTATTAGGGCGTCTGGTTCAAAGCAAGCTGGATTCAGACACTTTCAGTAAATCGCTAGCTATTTACTAAATATCCCCTATGGACAGGGATCTCAGGAGCATGAAAAACACATAAAGATACTGTCAAATCCTTCTTCTGGGCATTTATCCCCAACACAGGGGTTTATATCCCGCCAGCTGTGTTTGTCCAGCAAATGTCTTAATTTCTCTGAGCCTCAGTTTCCCCCTCTACAAAACAGGGATAAAACACCCATCCTATAGAGTCAGTGGGGTCTGAATTAAACAACACAATACAGAGAAGGCGCCTCTCATCAGACATCAATAAAGATTACTTCCTTTCTCATCGAATACTGTCTCAGAGCAGGAATTGGTGGTGCGTGCCTGTAAGCCCTGCTCTTGGGAGGCCACACCAGGAGGGTAGTGAGTTCAAACCCAGGCAGGGCTACACAGCAATACTGTCTCAAGGAACCAAACCCAAACCCAAACCCAAACCCCACACAACTTTGTCTCACAGGTGGTAATGGCCCCGTACCTGCCAAGTGCCTGTCCTCCTCCGCCGTGGGCAGCGCTGCGCCCTTGCTCTCGGGCAGGTATTTCTTGGTGATGGGTAAGGACAGGAGGCGGATGTGGCGGATGAGCACGCGCCAGCTGTGATCCCCGGAGAGCGCAGGCTCAGGCGCCAGGGGGCTGAAAGGCTGGATCACGAAGCAGGCGGTGAGCAGCACTAAGCCCAGCGTCAGGAGCACCTACGGGGCAAGGCAGGAGAGGGTTAGCGGCGGCCCCGTGGTCCCAGCGAACAATACCTGCACTCAGGAAGAAGCAGGACTCTCCTGCTGTCTCACTGTGCCCAGGGAACAAGCCCTTCCCTAAGCCATCTGCTTTGCTTCCAAGGGCATGAAAGCCTGAGAACTGTGAGGACCGGGAGGCTCCCATCAGACCACCGGGGGCTGCGCCCACCACTTCAAAACACTCAGGGCCGGGGATACAGCTCAGTGGCACAGCGCCTGCCTGGCAAGCGCGAGGTCCTGAGTTCGATTCCTGGTACCAAAAAAAAAGAAAAAACCCACAAATATAGCTTCATTATAAATCCATAGCTTTCAACTGGGCATGCTGGTGGCTCATAGCTATAATCCCAGCATGCAGGAGGATGAGGCAGGAAGATCACTGTGAGCTTCGAGACCAGCCTAGGCTACATGGTGAGCTCATGGCCAGCCTGATACATAGCAAGACACTGTCTCAAAAAAGAAAAGAAAAAGCAAAACCAAGGCTCCATGTGGACTCGGTACTTTGAAGGCTGCCAGGGTGCGTGTGTTCCCACCGAGCTCCGGGCCACGCACCCGTACCTTACACACAGTGATGAGCAAAGGGTACTGAGGGGGCCCCCGCTGGGGCTCGTTCTTTTCCAGCAGCTGCCTAATGAACTTCTCGATGGCCTTCTCCGACATGCCACACTGATGGCCGGTCTGTCGCACCCACTCAACAGTCTCTGAAAGTTTGTCGTAAATGCTGAGCTCGTTGGCGGCAAAATCCATGTCTTCCGATACGAAATCCCTGCGGTAGAGAAAAACGAGCGTAAAATGAATGACAGTTTCTTCAAAGCTCTTCCTCCTGTAAGTCCTTCCTGCGACCCTCTAACTGCAGGTGCCGGTTCAGTGTTTGAAGACAAATACTTTTATTAAGCTCAGTGAGTACGCTGAGACAGCGGCGAACTGCCAGATGTGCAAGGGCTTTTTATGATTATTATTATTATTTTAAAAATTTATGTATTTTTTATTTTTAAACAAAAACTTACATGTCATATAAACTCTTGAATAACTACATAAAACTAAAAATGGTGGCTAATTTTTTATTTTTAAATGCTTTACATTGAGAAAGAAAACGTGCACTCTGCTTTACGGCATCTTCCACACTCTCATGCTCTGGAAGGCGCCTGTCGAGAGGCGCGGGACTCCTCAGTGGAGGGAGTCACCCTCTGACAAGCTCTGCGGCTAAAGGTGCCGTCAGGGGGCAGCCTGGCTGGAGGAGCAGGCTGGAGGCGCCACGTCTGGATCCCAATTCCTGCGCAGAGTGAAGAGCTGCTCCACGGTGCCCTGGGCAGGCTGCGGGGACAGCCACAGGTCCCGTTACACTGCAGGGGGTGGCCTTTCTCCACCCTCTGCCCCCGGAGTCCCCGAACACCACCAGCAGGATCACCACTGGAAGAACATCAGCACAGCCAGATCCCCAGCTCTCCCAGGGCACTGACTCGGGGGCCTGGGCCTGGCTTGGCAATCTGTGGATCTAACAGGGAGGCCCGGCGGGTGAAGAAGCAGACGAGCACTGAAGCTCCAGCACCACATTCTCAGGCCCAGGCTGACACCACACAGAAGCTCCTAACGGACAGCTCCCAGTTTATGCACAGCACGTCTAAAGTCCTCACAAGCCTCCTGGTCCAGCCTCTTCTTCAAGACAGGAGGTGGCTGAGCACCAGGACAGGGCAGCTGGCAATCCTCTAGGAAAGGAACTGGAGATCTAAGACAAGCGTGACACCTCCGTTTTATCTGGTAGGCCAACTGTTAGTAAATGCTATACTCTAAGGAGCGCTGGGGTCGCCGCAGTCCTGAACGTGCTATCTCTCTGGCAGCACCTGGCGCAGACTAAACCGGACGACGCTAGGAGTCAGGAGGCGTCTGAAAGGTAGGTAGGAGGGGGTGTGGGAAAGCTCCAGGGTCTGGCAGGACCGGGGTAGATTTTCTAAACACTGGGAAAGGCTTTCAACAGCTCCTCTTCCTGCACTATCAATGACCAGGGCACAGGCAGCCCACAATCACTTTCAAATACAGGGCTTACTACTACTACTACTATTATTATTATTATTTATTATTATTATCTCTTTGAGACAGGGTCTCGCTGTGCAGTTCAGGTTGGCCTTGAACTCACTTTGTAGCCCAGGCTGGCCTCGAACTCACAAAGATCCTCCTGCCTCAGCCTCCTGAGTGCTGGGATTACAGGCGTGCACCACCACGCCTGGCTCTTATTATTTTTTATTTTGTTTCAGCTTGGTATTAAACTCTGGGGGACAAATGATTTTCCTGCCTCAGCCTCTACAGCAGCTGGGAGCATAGGTGAGCACCACTGCTGGGGCACCTACGAGGGTTTACAAATCCCACGTGCCTGGAGGGCCTGCCAGGAGTGCAGGAGGTCCCTAAAGGGATTCGGATGTCTGAAAACAATCACAGACTTACTATTGCTCTTTTTTTTAATTGTATTTTTGACACAGGGTCTCACTATGCAGTTCAGGCTGGCCTTGAACTCACTTTATATCCCAGGCTGGCATCAAACTTGCAGCAATCTGCCTGCCTCAGCCTCCCAAGTCCTGGGATTACAAGAGTGTGCCACTGTGCCCAGCTGCTACTCGTCATTTACTAGATAAAAATAAGCCTGAGCTGTAGCTCAGTGGCACAGTACCTGCCTGGCAAGCGTGAGG